TCGGCTACGATGAACGTCCCAATAAAGCAAGATTTTATTTTGTTTTTAATCTATACTCACTTGTTAAAGGCAAAATAGAACATTGCAGGCAACACATTTTCTTTATTAAGATTCTCTCGTGTAGTCATGCCAGTAGACGGAATAAATACAGTTTAAAATGAAAGCAACGTCTACTCAAATACGAGTATCCATTTAAAAATAAATAAAAAACGTTTCAAGTGATAAAAATATATCGGATTAAAGAAATAAAATCTATTTATTCTTTGGAAATTGTAAGGACTGCAAAAAGGAGCTTAATGTTGCCACAAAAGCAACAAAAAACTAAAAAAAAACATTAAAGAAAACTAAAAAATTGTTAATAGCAACTTTATTTGATTTCAACCAATAAGCATCTGAGGATTGTTATGTTAGTATTTCTCAAATATCGCATCTTCACACACCATTTTACAGTATCATGTACATTTCTTTTCTTCTTTTCTTTTTTCCTCTTCCTCATCCTCTTTGTGCTATCTCCCTCCGATCATAAATGTTTACTTCATAAAACTAATCTTTGTAGCTCTAAATAATTTTATCCTCTTTATTTCCTGTTCTGCTATCAATTTCTGCATGCTGTTTTCCTCCACACCATTAGCCATGTCCCGTGAGTGTCAAATTCTCCATGCCTTCGTTCCAGAAATTTCAAGCGTCTCTTTCTAGGTAGTGAAATAAAAATGGATGTTTCTATCAGAAGACATTCAGAAATATATATTCAAATTCTCCCCGGACATTGAGAACATTGAGGTCAAAACCCAGCGGCGACAGTCTGTTTTTATGGTTAAACGCTGTCCTTAAGCCCATTCAGGTGGCCTAATGGCCTGAAGAGTGCGTTCAAGCATGAATCAGACTTTCGTTATTCAGTGTTGACCGCAGTGTTCACTTTTATATTTACACATTATAGCCCTGAAAATGAGCACGTTAACCCATAAATATAGCATACATTAAAACTATGTCTTTATCACGTATATATATATATATATATATATATATATATATATATATATATATATATACTAATTTTAATACTTGGTTGGTAAAAAAAACTCAGATAGCACAACTTGCAAGTATATCAAAACAAATTCGTACCCGAAGAAAAAAAAAGATAAACTAGAAACACCCGAACAGAGCGAAAGAAATCGTCCTGCGCCTTAAGTTTTTAGTCCAAAGAAAATAAAAAACCAAACGAGTTTTAGTTCAATACACTAAGTAGAGCTGGGTTCCAACAAGAATGTGTTATTAACAAGGTTGAAATATACAGAAAAAAATAATAGTAATAAGAATGTTCAATTTTACATAGGATCCACTCAAGGTAATTTCAAAAAGCGTTACTATAATCATTTAAGTATCTTTAAGTATCAAAATAACAAAAACAACACTAGCCTTTCTACATACATATGGAATATTAAACAGGAAGACTGGTATTTTAAAATGGGAAATACTTAAGTATAAAGCAGGGAACAAGTATTGCTTATTATGTATGGAGGAAAAATTAACAATAACCACCTCCGACGAACCTACGAATTTATTAAGTCAAAGATCTGAGATTTTAAAAAGTTGTAGGCATAGGAAATCCTGGTTATTGGAATAGAGGCTGTTTTGTTTTTGTTTTTTTGTTTTTTTTTTTGGGGGGGGGGTCCTATCTTTTTCAGTCACGTGGTTTTAGGTAATTAGTTTTTAGTGGTTTTATCAATAAAAATTTTTTCGTGTCATTTCCTATTTAGCCACATTACCCTAAAGATCCGTTGAAGAGAGGGACTGAGTTGAAGAGAGGGTATTGAGTTACAACCCTGTTTTTTTTTATTTTTTATTTATTTTTTTTTTTTTAGCCTGCCGACTGGATGCTATTCGAAAAGTTTACTTTGTATATTGTGTTGATTGACAGTAAGTGTGACTTTGTAATTGTTTTTGTGTGGTGCTTTATTGAATTTTTGACTGTTTATTTTTTTTTTTTTCTGTGTTTTTCGTGAGGGGATTAACCTCCCGCCATGGCGGAGGTATCCCAGGAAAAAGAGCCATTGACCAGTACCTCAACAGCGCCGTCAGCATTGGTGGCGGAAAGGCCACCAAAAGGACCTACTTATTATAAGGGCCTGAGAGAAGAGTACAACTCATTCATCTCAGGCCATGAACTTTTACCGGTGCCTTCGGTTATGGAGGCAGTTACAACGAGGGCCATTTCCCTGTTGACAGCTGACGTCAAAACCCACAAGCTTATTACTGTCAGCAGGGACACGAGAGAGGAGGCCCACAAGGCCCTGAAAATTGGGGCCAAAGTATTGTCCCGTAGGTCAAATGCCATGTGGGACATCTTGCTGGCTACAGAGGAGGCTGCAAAAGCATTAGCTGGCAGTGCCCTGGCCACAAAGACCATGATTTTACAAACAGAATACATGGGTAGCCAAAAGAGCCGGATTACTTTACATGGGGTGTCCATATATATCTCTGAGGTCCATCTTGGAGTCTTTTTCTCTGATTACGGCCCTGTGGAGGGAGTATCTCCCATCAGAAGCAAGACGGCCATTTCCACCAGTGACTAGGAAGTCATGGGGACATTGACCCGTCCCAAATTCAAAAAGATCCCCAACATAATCACCAGTGATGGCCGAAAAAAATTTGTGGTCGACCTTCCTGTTGGGCTTGTGGTGAGACCGGACACCTGGCCAAGCTGTGTCCAACCACGAAGGTCCCCAGTGGAGAGTAGACTGGGGTGGTGAAAAAAGGAGTGAAGGCGACAACTCTGCCTCCCCAGTAAGATGTCCCAGAAAAAGAAGCTGCCAAGAAACAGCAGCAGCCAAAGCAGCAGCTGCAACAGCAGCAACAACAGGAGCCGAAGAAGCAGCGGCAGCCGGAACAGGAGCAGCACAGCAAAAATCGCCGGAGAAACTGCAACAAAAGCAGCAGCGGCAGTCGGAGAAGGAATAGCAACAGCATAAATCCCCAGAGAAGCTACAATAAAAGCAGCAACGTAAGCAAAGGCAATTGACAGAGCAGCAACGGAGCAGCAGTTCCAGGAAAAACCAGTACAGCAGACGATTCAGCCATAGGAGGACTTGCCACAGCTGAATCTCTACATGGATATGGAGGAATTGCCTCCACCGCTATCTTACTCACTGAACAGAGGGAGGGATGACGAGGAGGAAGACGATCCAAAGTTCACCTAAAGGGAGAGGTGATAAAAACAAATAAATAAAAACAAAGCATCTACTCAAATAAGAGTATCCATTTCAAATAAATTAAATAATTTGTCGGATTTAACCCATTTCATATAAAATATATATACCAGGTATAACAGCAAAATTGTCCAATTGTTAGATTAACTTTTGAAACGTTGTATCATAGAAATAATTAAAGATATCTTATTGGAATTCTCTGAGGTTTTTAAAACACTATTGAATTCTGCTTTGAACAATAAGAATGTATTTAACACTAAAGTGAAACGATGATCCATTTTCCTGTTGTGACCACCTGATCTAGTTTTCCTCTCTGCTTTTTCCTTTTTTAAAAACTTATTCACCGTTCAATTAACGGTACTTGAATGAACTTTGAAGATGAAGGCCATAATGATGGTACCATAGTGGGACTGACAAAAAATGATTTAAACCTGTTTTTTTTTCTAGCTGAATAACTCAAAGGGTTTTTCAGTGATTCTTACAACAAATGGTGTCAAGATGGCACAACATCTTATCTGAAAACGAGAAAAAATAGTTACTCAATTAGTTTAGTTTTTTTTTAGATATTAAGCATTTTGTGAGATTTTGCTGTTACACCTGATATATATATATATATATATATATATATATGTGTGTGTGTGTGTGTGTGTGTGTGTGTGTGTGTGTGTGTGTGTGTGTGTGTTCTTCTGAATTTGGTGAACATTGTATATTCCTTTATATTCCTTATTACATGGCGAAACTATTGGCCTCGCTATTTTCGACCGATAAAACTCCCTTGAATCTGACAGATTCATCGGCACGAATGTGAAGCGGAACAACAAGGCACTAAATAAATGAAATAAAAAGCTCATTTTCAATCTGTAAAGCGCCTGTCTGTGTTTTGGGGTGCAGCACGTGTTCAATGTGAGCAGTGAGTGGCACTGTTACTCGGACGGCGCACGTGTACCGCTAAGGGAGACCGTGCTGACAGAACCTTGAAAACCCACACACACGCGTGTGCAAGTATACACGTGAAAACACACACTCAATTGCACGTGAACACACGCACACCGGCATTATATATTTGAAAAGACGTGCCTCTGATCCCGTTCGGTGAGTTCATTTTGATTAAATTTATTATTTCATATTTTTTCTTGTTCGTGCTTTTGTATTTTATCTGACGACTGAAGTCTCAATTTTATATTTTTCAAGCTCAGCTTCGTATGACAGAGAACCAAAAAATCATAGTGTGTAGGAAGATTATGTTGCATCAGTCTTCTAAGTGAATAAAGCATACACATTTAAAATAACAATATTTAAAATCTGGGTTTTATTATTAATATTTTTTTTTATAATTGAACTCGACCAATCGCCTCTGGCACCGATGAAAAATACATATATGTATTTCTATCCTGGGACAGGCAATATTACGTAACTCGTTTCAATATTTTAAAAGTTTTCTTTGTCATGGCACAGAGTTTCAATGGAGTAAATTTCAGCGTTGGAGATTGTGTTGCCTCTACTCGAACCCCGATCCGTTGAATCAGAAAAAAAGGCATAATGGAGCAAATTGACTGATAGAAGATTGTGTTTCCTGTGTTCGAATACAGACCTTTGGCACCGGTGTTTCAGTCAAGGGAAAAAAATCTTACATAACTATTCTTGATATTTAATAATCTTACTTTAACGTGACAAATACTGAATGGAAGAATTGAAGCGTAGAATATTGTGTTGGCTGCGCACGAACACCGATTTCTGGAACCATTGAAAATACGTAACTATTTTCAGCCCTGAAACATACACCTGTCATTGTACTTACGGCCACATCGCGTTGGAAAATCGGTTCCCGTACGATTACCTCAGTTAAGCAACGTTAAGCCTGATCAGTACCAAGATGGATGATCCCTTGGGCATACCAGGTGCTGCAAGCTTGGATGTGAGGTTGATGTAATGGGTGACGAATTGGAATTGTTAATCGGAGTTCAGAGTTCCAATTCCAGTTGGGTTCGTTATATTCACTTACGCGCAGATACCCTTGGGAAAGGTATGAATCTATTTCTTCTCTCTCCAAATATGGGTTAATTAGTATGATTTGCATCACTAAAACCATCATTATTTTAATAAAATAAAATAAAAATAAAATTACTTACAAAATATTTAGATTTCGGCATTAAATAACTCATAGAAACTGATATGTCGCTAAACAAAGTTAAACAAATCAACCACTGAAAGATTACCAAATTGCATTGTGTGGGTCTGTTTATGATCTCAGGAAAGTATTATTAATGTAAAAAATTATAATCACTATATATGTTAAGTGGTACAGTGTTAGATTTTATGCAAACGGTATGAATATATTGATAACTTGCTCGGTATGGGACCGAGAAAGGATTTTAGTAAACAGACAGCAAAAGTAGATAATAATAATAATAATAATAATAATAATAATAATAATAATAATAATAATAAATGAATATACCCACAGACATAACAAGTTAGCAACATATGTTCACTGAAAGATATGCCAGAAGCACAAAACTGAGAGTGTGTATTAGTGCTTTTTGTAACTTTTGTATGGTGATGTAATTAAGTGCTGATGATTATTATCAGTGAGGCCATCGAATAAAAAAAGGAATTTTTTTTATTGATTTTGAGTTTGCGTAAAATACTAAGTAAAAGTAGTATGTAATAGTATTTTGCAGTGGTTTAAATCGGGGTTAATATGTATGTTGCTTTGATTAGTTGTCCGTAAAAATAATTCTATTTGGTCATCAACAATGTGATTAGGAAAAACTTTATTACTAAAGTGTTCATGGACTGGTTGTTTTTGTTTATTAGTATGTCAACCTTCTACGCGTTTGTCTAACCTTCGGTAAGTGGAAAGGATTGATTTAGCATTTTATCTTTGATTGACTACCAGTCTGGGGAAACTTAGCGGCACACAGGCCACCAGTTCTCTGTTGTCAGTTCTTGCGAAAAGGGTGACTGGTTCTAAACAGGGTTTAACGATTTTAAGCAAAACATCTCTAAGCAGAGTGTCTGATATCTAATAACTGAATTGTTAGACGTAAATCGTAAACAACGGGAGAGTCCTGATATATATATATATATGTCTGATTGAATAAATTACGGATATTATACCTACTAATTTTTAACAAAATCCGTTCATACTCACGAATAACCTTCCGTGTATTGATGTTAAAGGATGAGAGAAATGTGCTATAGCTGTTTAAATTTCTTTTGTTTTCATTTGCTAAGTACTTTCACTTTTCTTCCAAGATCATCTTCAAGAGTGCAAGTAGTACAAAATTATATGTTGTTCAGAAGTACAAGTATTTATACAAAGCTGTGCGTTGTTATCCATTACCACAATTTTAATGCTTTTAAATGCAAAACAGTTCACAATGTGCTGAGCGTTCATTCAAACGTGAAAAAATTATCCATTATGGATTTTTTTCATGTTGCAATGTCACCTGATGATTGCGTTTAACATGAAACTCTGAGTGTTTCCTTCAATGTTCACTTTTTAATATATATATATATATATATATATATATATATATATATATATATATGGGGGGCGATATTTTCTTGGCTCTAAGAAGCCTTCCTGTTCGATTATTATGTTTTGGGAAGTGGGTTGTGGTCGATCTGTGAACTTTTCAGTCTTCTGTAACAACTCTTTTCGGCTTAGCCTAATTCCAACCTACCGAAAAAAAAATTTCTTCCCACTTTGAAATGCATTTATAGTAATATAACTTACAATGTTGTTCCGTAATAAATGATTATATATAAATGTAATATATATATATATATATATATATATATATATATATATATTTTTAATAATCTATATAAATGTAATTTTGTCAGTAACACTTCTTCCTTATTTCAGTACAATATCATAAATTCTGCATTGGGTCCAACATCGTCTAACGGATATTTATTTGCCTCTATCCAAAACAAATATGACATTGAGTTGTTTTAACGTAATGGGTGGGGGTTTTCACAAGCTTACATCGAAGTAGAAGTAGAAATTACCGACACTCACTAACTTTTGCTGCAAACATCATCGCACAGTCTCTGAAGCTATCTCGTTAATTCCATGGAGACGCGAACCTTCATTTAATTCATTCGAAGTTAAGACAAAACATGAGGCTGAGAAGCGATCTAATTTTAATTCATGAAAAAACAATTTGCTATGAAATTAAGATATTCGAGAAACGAAATTCTTTCAGAAAAATATATTTGAAACCTAATCCAAGATTACCAAATTTCTTAAATACTAAAAGAATTTATCATATTTCCTTATTGTTCTCATTTAAAAGTGATACAGTTACATGTATACGCAATATTGATTCCCATCAATCTAAAATTTGAAAATGATTTTCAAACCTTGTGACCTTCAAGTTGATGCTCTCAGAAACTAATCGTTCGCGGTAATTCATTTAAAAAATATCTCTTGCTTCACAAAAAATGGATGTAGATGTTTTCTATTTCATTAACGAAATTGATGCATGTTTTTAAATTTGGTCTTTTCATTATTATTATTATTATTATTATTATTATTATTATTATTATTATTACGCTTTCCCGTCATTTTCTTGCTGACGTGTTGCTGTCAAAAAGCAAACGATAGCCGGAGGTACAAAACTACGTCTGCATGTTGATGTGAATCAACGCATCAAGCTTCGTTTGTCAAAGATGCAAGATTACGAGCTCTCCTCGAATCCAGCCCACTTTGCCAACTAGCCATCACACCCGTCCTTCCCCATTATTTAACTCGACCCTTCCTTCCAAAGAATATTATATTCTAATTGTTCTCCTCTATTCAATGAGCTTCAGTTTTGTTTGCCATTTTTTCTTATGCTGAGCCTATTACTGGATTGTTTTTCATTTGTTCTGTTATGCATACGTTCACGAATACCATGTGCGGGCGCGTATACACACGCACAAACACACACACACACGCATACTTTCTTTCACTTTCTCACGCACAAACCCTGTCACACATATACACACAAACACGCACACGAACATACACAGACAAGCATACTCACACAGAACACTCTTGTCACGAACACACAGATACACACAGGAGCGCCAGATTTTTATAACAAAAAATCTTTGTCTTCCAATCAATTTGACAAATGACTTTTGCACTTCTTTTTCGCTGGTCGTTCATAAGTTGATGTGTGTGGCGGGGGTGGGGGTCTGGTGTCGGCCGTGGCGCTGAAGTATAAAAGAAAGAAGAAAATAAAAAAAGGAAATGGAAGGGAATCACTTAGAATATCAAAGTCTAACAATGACGACGGCGACGAACGACATATTCTGAGTTCAACCACCCACATAACAAAAAATAAAGGAACAATCGACTTGTTAGAGAAATTGACAGGGAATGAAATTGCAGCAATGTTACTTGTGGTTATTTATTTTGAAAGTAAACAAAGAAAATATTAATCGGCGCGAAAGTAAGAGAAAAAGAGATAAATAAAGAAACAAATAACAAAATAAAAGAGAAAAATATAATGGGACTTGAAATATGAGGATAAACAAAAAAAGTGACAAAAAGTGAAGAGAAAAGAAGAAGTAAATAAAAAACACGATGAAACACCGAGGGTGAAACACAACCAAAAAGCTAAAGGAAAGAAGAAATAGATAATAAAACAATAAAAGGACGTAAAAGAAAAAAAAAGGCGGGGGGAGAAGCGAATGAACCCTGCCTGAAAACGAAAGAGAAAGAAAAAGGAAAGGAAGAAGCAAATGAACGCAGTTTATAAACGAAAGAGAAAAGAAAAGAAAGGAAAAAGGAAATGAGCCCTGCCTGAAAACGAAGAGAAAGAAAAAGAAATGGAATAAGCAAATGGACGTAGCCGGAAAACGAAAGAGAAAGCGAAAGAAAGGAATAAAGAAATGACTCTCTGAAATAAAGGGAAAGGAAAATGCGGATGAATCAAGATTGACATCGAAAGAGAGAAAGAAAAAGGAAAGGAAGAAGTAAATGAAGTCATCCTGAAATCGAAAGCGAGAAAGAAAAATGTAGAATGCAATGAAATCATGCGAAGGAATGCAAGAAAGGAAAAATAAAAAAAAAGAAAAAGCGAAGGAAAATTATTCAGTAGCAAAATAGAAGAGAGAAAAAAACCCTAAAAAGCGAGTATGGCAAAGCATTAAGTCAACAGAAACTCTAGAAGGATGGGCGGGAATGATTAGTAAAGAAAAGTAAACAAGACTGTGAGAAGAAATAGACAACGAAGAAACTAAATTGCAATCAGCGATAATCAAATAGTACATGAAACTCTTTAAAAAAAATATTTCTTTTCTATTTGGTGACACAAAAGCAAAATAAAAGCAAGAAAAAGTAATTTGAAGCAAGGGAAATAGAAAGAAAAATAAATAAATTGGACGCAAGCAGACGAGAAAAACCAACGTAACATTCAGTAAACAATAGACAACTCAAGTTTTGCTATTTTGACGTATATTTCAACGAAAGCATTCATCGACAAAAAACACCAACAAAAATCCTTGCATAAATTTGTGACGGTCGCTATGATTCATTATTCGACATTAGCTCTAAATAATTGATCTTCAGTTGAGTTCCGTTCGCTTTTAGTATAAAACGTCAACGATTAAACAATTAACAATTCGCAGTTCCAAGCAACGCTCAAAATCATAATCTTTTTTTTTTATTATTATTATTCCAGTTCCGGTTCGGTGCCCCTGCCTGGACTTTGAACCCCGGCCTTTCCGATGAACTCTGTTGCTACGTGCTGGCTGCTGGAACAGTAAGAAGTCTTTTCTTTATGAAATGGATATGTCAAAATTATGTTTACCGAGATTTCTCTCCAGGTTAAAACAGGGCATAAATGTCTTCATAAGAATTCCGCTCAAGATAAAACCATGATTCCCTGACATATTGATATGTATATGGATAAGCATGATGATTACCTGACGTACTGACATTTGCATGGGTTAAACGTCAATAATCCTTCGACAACGTGACATTTTCCCTTTATAAATATCGAAAGACTAGCGACTCATGAATCTACAAACGATGAAAAGAGATGTAATACATATTATAAAGTGCGCACAAAAGCTTCTGGTTTGAAATTGTTAATCAGAATAGTTGTTTAAAAAATGTCTGGGAAACTTAATACACACACCTAATAATATTGGACAGAACAGTATTGGACAGAACCCAGTTTGGCATTGAGCTTATTCCATCATTATCAGCTACAGCCATTTTTCGTCTACTGTAGGACAAAGTTCTTGCCAAACCCATTGATGACGACAGAGACAGTGTTAAACAATTGTTCTATTCTTCTGCATCTTTCAAAAGGTCTGTTACTATACCACCTTCACCTTGTGCTTTTCTACATTTCCCATATTAATGAGAAAACTTTATTTCATTAGTTTTTTTTTACAAAAAAAATCTCAGCAAAACAAGACCCAAGAGAAATAAGACTGTTAGAATTAAAGATTCTTCTAAATCCTCCGTTTTCATTCGATTTAGCAGGCAAAGATTTGAATTCCTTTCGATAATTAGAACATTTCATAACATATTGAGAAAAATGAAATCGGAAACAATATTTCAAAAGATTTTCGAACAAAAAAAAAGAAGAAAAAAACACCTGAGGGGTAACCGATTGCTAGAGAATATAAGAAAAACTACTATTAAGGAGAGAAAACAATAAAAGAACAAGAATTAAGGAAGATCATAACGAAAGACATTACATTTAAATTTTTGAAGATTAAAGTTGATTGGGCAGCAAGAATCCGGAAGAGAGTTTCACAAGTAAGAAGTGCAACAGAAGAAACCCATAGCATAGAACTTACAGTTGTATCTAAATATTGCCTCTGTAAAATGATGAGACCTTACTACTAATGTAGTTTAAATTCATAAAGTCTAGATACCATAAAGGAAAGTTTATGAGAACAAATCCCATGAAAATATTTATAGAAAAGCCAATATGAAACTTCGTTACAACATTGGCAAAGTGACTGAAGCCGAGATGCCAGGTCAGAACCAATAACATTGCAGATTCATCTTTGGATTTTATCTAAATGTATAACAGGAGCAATATTTAAAGCGAGAACAAATGGTATACTTATAAATGCGTCAGGTAGATTCTAGCAGGCCTAGTAATTGATTCAATATAATCTTTCCATTTCATGTCAGTGTTCGACCGAGAAGAGGCAATGTCACTTTCCGGAAGGTTAGCATACTGATCGGAGACAAAATGGGTTCTCACAGATGACACTGGTTTACAACATTAAAGCTTCAAAAACTAAAATAGCCAATTTTATCTGTCTATATATCTGAGGTAATATGATTACTTGCATTATTTTCATTACTCGGACAGTTATCCTCATCTTCATTGACATAATCACAACGTTTCGGATGTTATACGCTCCGGTCTTCTTCGGATGATTGGAATTTCGGACCGTAGATTGTTCTAGTTCCATGTGCCATGCCTCTCTCTTTAACTCAACTCTCCAAGATTTAGTTCACTACTGTATTAGTATTTGAAGTCACAACTCTTTGAGTTTAGTTACTGCATCTAACCAAAGTCTTTGTCCGCTGGGTCATGTGTCCTTGAGAACATCTGTGTATTAATTTATGGGACATATAAACCTAAAAATCTTAGCAAACATTTTTTATACCAACATTAACCGGACAATAACTCAAATTCAACTCTCAGCAAACATTCACTGTAAAGAATGGGATCGTCCGCTGCTTACAACATCGACCAAAAGTCATAAGTGGCGACTTGGAGTCATACGAACAAGAAATGGTCAGTATAAGTAGTACTAAACATCATAACGGCTACCTGAGTACATGGCAGCAGTCCCAGCAAACTGGGATTGAAGGGTACTAGAGGATAACAGCGCTCAGAAAACAGTTTATACTTTATGTTTACAATGTTTTTGATTTCGTTTAGTGTCCAAGACATTTTTAAGATTGTGTCTGTCCGCCATGGGTGTCACACTAACTGCAGACACATGAGGCATTGTGACGGAACTTTTGTAGATCATCATTCAACAAATATGCCACAAAATCTATTTAGTTTTATTGGCATTTTCGTTTTTAATCAGATAGCGCCTAATAGTGCCACTAATTTCTCTTGAGCTTGCTGGACCGGTTACCACTGTTTTCTTTCAAGTTCAATTCAGAGATCCATCGTCCCTTAGCAACCATTGTATGCCACCTCCTTGACTTGAGAAATGGGCGTGTGCAAATTTGCAATCCATTGAATTCAAGGGAAAACCCTAACAGAAGATCAGATGACTCAGAAGTTTATTAAATCGAGGAAAGTGTGGAGAATATGATGATAAAAAGAAAAGGGAGTTTTTAGGAGGGCGAGTTTTACAAGTGTCGTTAATGATCTTCTTTTACCTGCTGTGTTCCTTCAAGTTACAGACAAACATGGCTCTCTACAACTTCCTATCTTTTGTCTTCCGCAGTAATGTTTATGCGCTATCACTCTTTTGACATCCATTTACACAAGCTCGTTACGTAGCTTACTCGATGTTTCCTTCGGCATCTCTTGACTTCATATGTCTTGTGAGTATCAAATTCTCCACGTCTTTACTCATTGTTTTCCAGACATTTTAGCTCATTTTCCCTGTTTCTATGTACACATGTCTGCTTTATTCATACTTTCCTTAAAACTCCTCTGTCGCTTACATATTACAGCTATAGTGTCCTCATCATCTTTTGTAGAACTACATCTCCGTTGCCTCAAGTCTCTTCTTCATCTGTGATGAAATAGTTCAGCATTGAATGCCATATAGGAAGATATATTATTTTGTTTAGTTTCTAAGACTGTTTTGTTTAGTTTCTTGTCGATATATATTAAAATACATTGTAAGTACACATTGAAGTTAGAGGTTTAAATTGTTGTTTTTTATTCCCTCCCCCCACACGCAGACAGCTAGTTAGGACTTCCCAGATACTTTGGGGTATTGTAGTAAGAATGGTGATTAAGAATGTATTGCTATGGTGTAAGGAATATTGTGGTATGTTTGGATTAGTGATTGTGGCTAGCTAAGTTTAATTATAAGATAGAAGAAGACCAGCCATAAACCATTCCCCATTTTGGCCTTGTACCACATTTTGTATTTTTTTTATAAAATAAATATCGCCATATAGGAGGATTGATATTACATAGCAATCAAGGACTCTTTTCTTTGTATCTGACGAAGTTTCCTTGTTTTTTTTGTCTTTTTTTTTTTTTTTTTTTTTAACATTTGTTTTATCTTTTGGAAAGTATATTTGCAATTCAGATTTTTGAGCTATATTATCCGATGGCATAAGATAAGGATGTGTCTTCTAACCGAAATTATTCAACCTACACTGAAGCGATTCTGAGAGAAGTAGAAGTCCTACCAGGATTCATTATTGGTAGCAACAATCCCAAAAAGAAGAAGATATGCAGATGTCACAGTGTTGATAACAGACAGAGTAAAGTAAATATGAGAACTTCTATAGAAGGGTTAGGGGTTAAAAAAAAAAAGCAAGAAGGGAGAATTAAACATCAATTGTAAAAAGACAGAATACATGGTTGTTATCAAAAGGAACAACCCAAAATGCAAATTACAATCTGGAAATTCTAATATCAAATAAGTACAAAAATTTAAGTACCTGGGAAATGTATTAATAGAGGACGGAATGTGCAACACAGAAATTCGAAGGTTTTTTGGATAGTGCCAAAATATGCCTTTCAAAAGATAAGCAAAGTACTAAGAAAAATGTCGTTAGAAACAAACACAAGAATACTGAACTGTTATGCAATATCTGTTTTCCTATACGGACAATCCACTTACAGATGAAGAAGTGTCTTACAGTAACAGAAATGTGATTCTACAGAAAGATGCTGAGAATACCATGAACCAAAGCCGAAGTTTTGGAGAAAATGGCATCAAAAAGGACAGGTATACATAGCATCAGAAAAAGATAGTTGAAATTTTTAGGAGACATAATGAGGAAAGAGGGTTTGGAAATGTTGATA